CTACATCTCCCCTTATGCTGTCACACCTAATTAAAGAAAGCATGGAAGCAAAGAGCCTGGTTTCTGGAATTTTAGACTGAATTAGCTATGACTGGCTCCACTCAATGTATAATCTTTGGGAAAGTTCAAACTTTGTCTTCTATAAAACCACTGAAAGTAGCTTAGTAACAGTTTAATAAGTACTAGTTTCTAAAAAAGGAATTCACATTTACATATTAATATATTAACACTCAGCTGGGCAGTGGTGGCACACACCTTTAATTCTAGTGCTTGGGAGGCAGAGGCAGGCAGATCTCTGTGAGTTTGTGGCCATCCTGGTCTACAGAGTGAGTTTCAGGACAGGCTCCAAAGCTACACAGAGAAACCCTGTGTTGAAAATCAAAAACAAAACAAAAATCAACATATATATATATATATATATATATATATATATATATATGTATATATATATATATGTGTGTGTGTGTGTGTGTGTGTATGTATGTGTGTGTGTGTGTGTGTATATATATATATATATATATATATATATATATATACACTCAAGCTCAATATGACAGCATGATTTATATTTGCCAACTGTTTCTCCTTAGTGATATAAAAATTTAAAAATTAAGCATGTCTATATAATCTTATTAAAAAGTGTATGACAAAGCTTGTTTTGCTTTTAATGTGAAAAGCTGAGGGGAAAATTGACTAACATTGAACTATGCAAACAGCAAAATTTAAGTAATGAAACCTCAAAAAATGTACATGTTCAGAAATTTACTAAGAAACAAAAGAGAAGGAATGACTTATTTTTAATAAGTTTTGTTGTTTTTGACAAATAGAATGCCTTTATAGGCTGTATTGTGATATTTTATGTGTATACATTGTAGGAGGATATAACAGGGATAACTAGCAAATCTACCACCTTCACCTCAAATAGTTATTTCTTTGTAATGAAACACTTGACATATACACAAATATATATAGTAATATATAAATATATATATACACACACAAATATAATAATACCCATCACACTAGGTAACAGATCAGTAAGAATTATTCCTCTTGTTGAAACTTGCTGTCCTGTGATGGTTAGAGTCTGGGGTTTTCATTTTTAAAATTTATTTTTATTTACATATATATATATATATATGCTTGTGCCAAATGTATGTGAGTACCCACAGAGGACAGAAGAGGTGGTCAAATCTCCAGGCACTGGAGTTACAGATAGTTGTGAGCTGCCTAAAATAGGTGCTGAGAGCCAAACTCCAGTCCTCTAGAAGGGTAGCACTCTTTAACAATCCCAGTCATCTCTCCAGCCCTCTGCTTAGTTTTGTCAACTTGACACAGTCTAGAATCACCTCAGAAGGAAATCTCAACGAAGGATAGTCTAGATCACAATAGGCTATGGACACCTTTTTGGTAGATTATCTTGATTACATTAAGGAAGAAGTCCTGCTCACTGTGGGTGGCACCATTCCCTAGGCAAGAAATTCTGGTCATTGTAAGAGCAGAGAAATGCAAATTCATGGCTCCCTGCTCTTAACTGTGGATATAACATGACTGCTTTAAGTTCCGGCTGCTTTTGAATTCCTTATAAAGATGAACTGTAACCTGAAATTGTAAGCTAAAATAAAACCTTTCTCCTTGAAGTTACTTTTGTCCAAGTATCTCATCAGCAATGGGGAACAAAATTACAACATACTCTTTAAGCAATATCTCCCCTTTTCCTGTCAACACCCTATCCCTGTTTCTTACTGCCCACTCCCCACTTCTGGGTTCAACTTTTTGAAGAATATGTAAACCATTTGTAGCACTTAAAGAAAAGTCCAAGAGATGGAGAATAGCACTGGAGGTGGTCTGTATGCTAGTGGAGGAGAAGCAATAACAAGTGGGAAAGCTGTCAAGCAGTATTTGTTTGCTTTTTCCAAACAGGGTCTCTCTGTGTATCCCTAGCTGACCTAGAACTCACTCTGTAGACCAGGCTGGCCTCAGACTCACAGAAATCTACCTGCCTCTGCCCCTGCCTCTGCCTCCTGAGTGCTGGGATTAAGGGGATGCACCACCACAACCCATCTCCAGTATTTTCTTAATAGGGTATGGAAGAGGGAGTTGATGGTACCATGGTAGCTTTATGCTCTGTCAACTTAGCTAAAATAGAATGATGGTTTCCAGAACCTCCTATAGTAGTTTCTATTTAGAGTTGGTTTTGAAGAGTTAAAAAAAAAAAAAAAAAAAAAAAAAAAAAAAAAATGGGGTTTTTGTTCCTAACTCTGGGAGATCTGGGAGAAAGTCTAAATTCTTGGAATTTCTCAAGTTTTGGCAGTATCTTCATTATTATCTTCAAATGGTGAACCATGAAAGTTTATGCTACTGTGGTGACCTTCAAAATAGGACAAGATCAGCAGGTAAAGGTCAACCATGTGATCCCAGGGATGGGGCTTTGAGCTGCATAGTAGTCTGAACCTCATGAGAGAAAAGCAAGATTGGGTTTGATCACATAGCCAAAAACTCAATTATGATGACTATTCAATGGAACTTCAATACAATCTGGAAATGTACAAACTTTATTAGTGTGTATGTTTCAGTGTGTTTGTGCCATGAGACCTGTGTGGAAGTCGGGAAAACTCTTTGGTGTGCACTTTCTCCTGGGAAATAAGACTGGTTGTCAGACTTTCACACCAAGTGCCATTATCTGCTGTGCCATCTTGCCTGTCCTCCCATAAAATTTCTGAATGGACAATAAAGCTCAGACATGTTTCCTGGCTGACCATGATGCTTTGTTTTGCTAGGAAGGTGATCCAACCTAAGGACAAGTGACAAAAACATGGAAGCTTCGCTTCTGAGAACTTTCCTGTTCTTTTCCTATGCATCATCTCCTTTGGGGTACTTTATCATTTTTATCTTTTTTGCTATAGTAAAACCGTGTCTTTGTGTATAGCTCTTTCCTGAATTGAGTCTTTGTACTAAACTATCATTGCTTAAGGTACAATGGAAACCCCTGAACTTTGTAGCCAATTTGTCAGACCTATGGGTGGCCTGGGAGTTTCTGCTCTTCTGGAGATCTGAATTGAGGGTGGCCTCAAGAAACCTGTCTTTTCCAGAACTTTGGCTCAACTCTAGAAAGTTACTCTTTGAGTATCAATGCTGTTGACCAAACAGAAATGTCTATGATGAACAGATATAAACAGGCCAGGTAGGATAGGGACCCCAAAGCAGTAGTTCTCAGAATGTCCTTGCTCAGGCCAATACCAGAAAGAGGTGTGGTTCCTATATGATTTCCCCTAAATGAGCACCTGTGCCTAAAGGCCAGAATGCAAATGAAACCAGGATAAGGTACCCGGATGGGTCAACTGCTGCATCATCCTCTCATGGCTCACCCAGCTGCTACCATAGTCCTTTAAAAAGTATCTACACTAACAGCTCTTTGTACTCTTTATTTCCCAGGATGCCTTCTGCTATGCAGGAGCTCTGCATTCTTTCCCTGACTAAAGCTCCCACCTCTCAATCGGTAATAAACTTGTAAAATTCACCCTCTTTGACCTCTGAGTTTCATCCTTTGGATTCCCGAGACGAGAACATGAAAGCTACTGGTTCAGGGCAGCTTGGGTGGCTGCTGAGTTTCTGGGACTCTAGTTCTTTGAGAAAGGTTCCATCATCCTCAAAGATGTAATTCTGTCATCAACAAGATGTAGTTAAGATGTCTAATATCCCCCCACAGGCCCTAGTGTTTGGACACTCACCTCTAGCCAGTGGTACTGTTAGGACTAGGAAACTTTAGGTGGTCTAGTTGAAGGAATTAGGCTACCAGTGCTGCAGGGGTTTCCTTGAAAATTACTTCTTGGCCCTATGGTCATGAAGTGAACAAGCAGCTGTCACATACTCCTGCTGTTATGACTCATTCTACCATGCCTTCTGCTCTATAACAGACCAACAAAAAGATAAATTGCCTGATGAACTATGCCTTCTATTCTGATAGATGAAAATTACCCTAGGAATGTACACCAAAATAAATTTTCTTCCTATATTTGTCAGGTATTTTGCCACAGCTACCACAAAAAAAAAAAAAAAAAAAAAAAAAAAAAAAAGGTATCTAAAAGGGAAGTAACAGGCCTGGTTCTTAGAATATGGAGAACATTGAAGGATAATTGTGGCCCTGTGGCACTTCATGCATTGCTTATGGACTGCTTAGCTCAGTGTGGGCACTGAGTCGTACATTTTCTAGTTCCTATCATGTGGGGCACAGAACTAGGCATTATAGCTAAAAATTAGACAATAAAAACTCAACTTAGTTTTTAGCCTTTTCCAGTTTCTTCCTGCTCAGTTTTGCTCTTCAGTTGTCCCTCTCAATTGATTCAGACTGACCCATGGTAACTTCAAACCCAACACCAGATGTTGGCCAGCATATTAGTATATCAACAATCAAAACTATGTTAAGTTTGCATCCCTGGAATAAATTCCTCCCTCTACATCACTTAGTTCTGCTATTCTAATTTTGTTGTGACAGATACAGACCATCCATTGACTTAAAAATAAACAAAGCACCACTTGGAAATAAACAAGAATGCTTATAAACAAACAAACAAACAAACAAACAAGAATGGCTCTACAGCTTCCCCAACCCTGCTGCGCATTATTCTTATGAATACTGACACCAATAACCACACACTCCTGAGGTTTTAGAGTATATCCTACACACTGAAGTATATCTTTCTTTTTTTTTTTCCCCAGAGAGGTTCCTAGGTTATAGTAATGGAGCTTTCAACTTTTGTCTATAATGAATCCCATGGCTCTCTTGCCCTGACTGTTTACAAAGTACAGATATTTAGTTTATTAGTTTGACTGGGTAAAACTGAAAGGAAACAGTCACTGATCTTCCAAGGCTTGCCCCGAAAAAGGTATTAAGCCAACATTATTGTGATCACCTATGGATCAACATGACTTAGTCCAAACTAGATAAATTGCAATTCTCCAAGTAGATAACTAGAAATACCAGGCTTATTGCAAATAAAACTGCTTAAGCAAACAATTTATTTAACAAACAAAACCTTAACCTATGCCAAGTGAGAACACAGAGCCTGGACACTTAGAACATCTGAGAGTAGAAAGCAAAGGAACTAATAATAGTTCACAGTGCTCTACACCATAATCTATGTTGAGAGAAGTCTTGCCATGCATCAGGGCAAATCTACAGAAGATGCTGTAAGATGGACAATCTTTACCAAACAAAGCATGAACAAATAAGACTTAAAGTACACTGCTAAGTTATTGGATACCCCTGACGTCAATGATGCCAAAATAAAGAGACACATTCTCTTTTCATGAATTTAATATAGAAAAAACAGTATAAATGCTGTGGTATAAAGAGGATCCATTTTTCATAATAAATTCTTAAAAATGATTTGCAGTGAATGAGCAACAGGATCTTGAAACATGCACGTTTTGTTAAACAAAATTTCAAAATAATAATCCTTTCAGTGAAACATTTGCCATTTTATGTGCTAACATCGTTGTTCCTCTAAAAAGAATTTTCATCAACACTGTCTTTTTATGTAAAAATATACATGTAGATATTTAACTTCCTGAGTGACTAGTCATACAGCAAATACAATTTAATGAAAGAGTTTTAGAGTTCTTAGAATGAACTAGTATAGATTTACAATGTATGTTTGTGATAAAACTCAAGAGCATACCACAGAATTTGTACTTAAATTCTGAGTTAGAAAATGATTCATCCTCTAAAAAACAAATCAACTGTTTAAATAAACTGTTAATAGAATGGATTACTGAGAAGTTCTATTTTCTCATTTATTAGCAAAATGCAGATAGCCATTTCAGACTACCAACCTGGATGTTTCCTACTATATACACCAAAATGATTCATTACCAAGAAATTTCTTGCAACACAAAAGGATGAGATAATTAAAATATTTGCTTTATAATACAACCAATCTATACAGTTCATCTCTCCTAGCTGACATGACCGGAATGGTGGCACATTCTTTTGTATAAAATCCTTCCTCTTCGGAAACCCTGAGGTAAGGTAAGTAAAGGAACAAACAGGGAGCCACAGTTCTCAGTTCTCTATGAGACTGCTAGACTTAAAAACATCTTTTTTCAAAGACAGGTGGAAAATTGTGGGGCTACTCTATACAGTTGTTAAAAATATTTCCAGAACAACTTCATTAAAAGGGCCTAAAATGGCCCTGTAAACAATGTCCTTGGAATGTTAGTTAATGTCGAGATGAAGGCCATTTCCCACCTCTACTACTGTCCCTTCTGTTATCATAGTCATGGCTCCAACCATCGTGATTCCTGTCATCATAGTAGAAATCCTCTCGGCCTCCTCTGTAATGATAGTCAGACCCATGATCAGAGTAGCGCTGCTCACGGCTATAGTGTCTATCTGCTAGGTAGGGGTGAGAATTCTGTCTTTTACGCTGTAATGACAATGCATCTTGGCGCCACTGGGAGCTGGAAGACTGGTTAAAGGTATGACCATGTGATTGAACTGATGGAGAAAATCCCGACTGATCTGAATGCGGAGAACCAAACTTCCCACCATATGACATCTGTCTGAAAACATTGTTCATCTGAGAGAAGAAAAAAAATGAAATATTAACTGTAAGTACTTTTTAATAGCAAAGCCAATGCATTAGTCAATGATATGTAGAATAAAGGAAAATCAAAATTACCCTTTCCCAGATGCATCCCAAGCTGAATATGATTTAATATAGTCTAATACTAAAGTTCCATTCATCCTGAGTATCTTACAGATACTTGAACATATATACACTACTTGCTTCCAAGAATATAAGACATGACTATAGTATGAATCACTCTAACAAACACACAAAGAATTAGACCCTCATTAACATTAGGAAGACCTCTCTGAAGGTAGAATACAATCTGAATTCAAGAAAATAAACAGAACAAAAAGAGATCATTTCAAGGGAGAAGCCCATAGCAGAATCCAGAATGGGTTCTGAGAAAAACAGCTACAAGCAGCATAGATCCTGCACCTTAGAAGCTGTTAAAAGTTGATGACAAAAGCTGGACATAGTAGCACATGCTTTTAAAACCTTATCTCTTTGAGTTCAAAAGCAGCCTGGTCTATATAGAGCTCCAGAACACCCAGCATGTCTCAAAAAAGAAACAAAACATCAAAAAACAGCAGATTTAGTTTTAGGGTAGGCCTCATGATAATATATAAAAAAAAAAAAAAAACCACTTCAGGTAAGTTGGTCTAGAAAATACATGTTAAATTATTAAAACTACAATGATCACGTTAGTCTAAATATTTGACAAAGTGTTAAGAATTAAAATAAAAACAGCTAATTTATGCCTAAGGACATAATAAAACAGAAATGAAAAGTTATCAGATGTAATAGGAATACTTTAACCCAAGTATGAAGTATGACTTTATCTTAGCAACTCAATTGGGAAAAAAAAAAAAAAAACAAAACAAAAAAAAAAAAAACCAAAGAAATCAAAACTGCCTACCACTGCTTGCCGCTGATAATCTTCTGGAGAAGAGAAGGACCTCTGGACCATCTGTGCTGAAGGAGTCATGTTACCCACCGCCCTTTCATAGCTGCAAAGAGAAAGCAAGAATGATGAGTGATCACTCAACACTCAATACCAGTCATGACTGAAGACAGTTCTCAATAATGAAAATGATTAAGATAAGCGGTTTCTATGTTATATGTTTGAAATAGCTGAAGGAAAGAAAGGGCATTTATTCTACTTTGGGTTAGCTCATCAGCTTTTCTGAAAAGATGACATTTAAATTAAGAAGTGAGGAATGATTACTTGCAGGCAAAACAGTCTTAACTGTGGAAAAGGCTAGAGAAATCAAACTCGGGGCCCAGGAGCCAAATATAGTTGTGTAACATGGTATTTTCTGGAAACGGTACTGTTTTCCTCTTGGGTTACCTATGGCTACCTTTACTGCTACAACAGGAAACACAAAGGAAACAGGGCCAGCACACATCTAAAGAATTAACTACTTGACTCTACAGAAGCAGAAAAAATGTATTGGTCCTTAAGCTAATACCATCATTCATATTGAGATTTTACTCTCTAGTTGTAAATAAAAGAAACTGAGTAAAAAAACTATAAATTTAAAATGTTATTTTAACTTGAGCAATTAGGTATGTATTTCTGAGACATTATAAAGTGAAAAGGTTTGGACAAATAACCATTTGTTTTATCCTCTTAGTGTTAAATCAGACTCAGTGGAGTTAGGAAAAACCAGGGACTTTCCTTTAATTTGGGGGTGGGGAGTGTGTGTCTCAGAGCAAATTCCAGATTCAAAGAGGGCAAAAAGTACAATTTACTTTATGCCAGAGTATGAGAATAATCTACCGTAGCCTATGATTAAAGTTAAAAGGAATGACTATATACTTACTCAACCCTCCCAAGAAATTCTAAGGGGAAGATCTTTGTTCCATTTAACTGCCTTTGACTGTTGTATGAAAGTGGCTGAAGAGGACATTTTGAGTGCCAACTGGTAAGTGTTTAAACACCACTAAATGATTTCAGCTGGCAAAAAAAAAAAAAAAAAAAAAAAAAAAAAAAGGATACAGGGAGGGAGAGAGCAATGTTTTTGTGCTACTGCTTTTTATAATTTGTCCTTCCAACATTTCTCTTCACAGCAGCCATCCAATTCTCTCTGGCTTTGGCAATGCCTTAATCCAAACCCACTTTGATCCAACAGCTCCACAGTCGCTTGCCAATAGCTTCCTAATTGGTATTTCTTTCACTATTGTCTCTTCTAACACATTCTTCTCCCATTGCAACCAAGTAACTCTTTAAACTTCTAACTACATATCATCATTTTACTTAAAATATTTTAATGCTTTCATCCTGTTTAGAATAAAATATCCCCAAAACCTGACTATAGCCCTATGAGACACTAACTCAGCCTTTACGTATTTCATCAAAATGTCCATACCTTTATTGCACTGGCTTCTTTTAGTTCCTCATCTATCTGCATCATCTCCTGCTATTAAAAAGCACTTTCTCCTCCTCTAAAAAACTAATTATAGTAATTAAACAGGTAGCCACAAAGTACATGTCTTCATCTAGATTTAAAATTCCACTTGGCAGTGTATAATATTGTGGCTTGATCATACCAACCAGGTTGTGCCTCCACACACTCCTTACAAACAGCTCAAATTTGGGCAAGTTGACTTCCAATCCATACTTTCTGCACCAAAAAGTAGAGATAAATAAATCCTATTTCATAGTTGCTTCTAGAAGTGACTGATATCATACATGCAAAGTATTTAGTGAGGCACTTTATATAACAGGTATGTGTCAATTCTAAAATGAAAGCCCTTTATGAATGGGCATATAATGGCTCTACAGAATTTACAAACAACAAAACCAGCATATAGCTGACTTAGGTAAATACAGTACTATCTTTAACCTTCAGAGAGCATTTTATTTAACTTTCTTTCTTTACAAAGTATAGGAACAGAGAAATGAGGTTTAAAGACTGCACAATTGGTCGAGGTGGGTCTACACTCCAGTTCTATTAACTCAGCCCAGTAGTCATAATTCACTAATCAGTACCTTTAAACAGCAAGAAAACAAACAAAAAACAATATTGGTGATAAAGTTACTGAACATTATAAGTATTTTTTGTTTCAATTCCATCTGTTTATGTGGGGAGGACATGTCCTTACAAACACACATGACTACAGCTGTACTTCATTTAGAGGAAGGGAACCACAGAACCCATTGTGTCTCCGGTCTCCTTAGAAAGGGGCATGCGACTGACCCAGCACAGCACAGCAGCAGAGTGCTATGCTACGAGGGAAGCCATTCACTAGTGCTTCCTGAGCTTAGAAACTTCCTGATAAATGACTTTTAACAGTGAGTGAGAAACAGTACCTGTTAGGAGACGTGGAGGTAGGGCTTAAATTTCCAACATGATGCTGGGGATATGACACACTGGCATCCTGAGAGGCGTGACTACTTCCTAAAATGAGGTAATTTCAAAAATTCTAATTGAAAATCAAAAAGGCCAAAGCAATTTGAAATGTCTCATCCAGTCTAAATTACTCCCAAGAGATAAACAGCTTAAAAGCAACACCAATCCCTCCCCCTCAAAAAAACAAAAAACAAAAAACAAAAAAAAAACCAAAAAAATAACAACAACAACAACAACAAAAAAACACCACTCAAATTGCTATACACTACCTCACAGTTTTTAGGTAGTTAATTTTTAAGTAGTTAATACCAGGAAAAAGAAAGCATTCCAAACAAGACATTACATAATGCAGAAACAGCCAATGTGGACATGGTATTAGGATCTTCATACTATATTACATGAGTGGATAGATGGAAAGCCTTATCCTTGCCTCACAGATTAGCAGCAACAAAATCGGTATTTGTAAATCACAAAGCACCCTGGGAAACAGCAAACTTTTAAGTATTTTCATCATCAATCTTTAAAATAGAAGTCTGGTATAGAGTGGACACCTACAATCCCAGCACTTGGGAGAAAAACGCAGGAGAATCAAGAGTACAAGGCTAGACTTGACTACATAGTGAGTTTGAAGCTAGTCTAGAATACCTGGAACCCTGTCTCAAAAACAAAAATGGATTAAAAAAAAAATGGATTAAAAAAAAAAAAAAAAAGCTGGAATAGTAAAATTGAAAGCATGAGCAAAAGAAACCAAAAAACCCTTTCCCTATCACCACTATACCTGAGCCATTACCTGATCTAAACTGAATTTTGATAGGCCTCCCGAAAAGTTTAATTCCATTGAGAAGATTCATGGCGTAAGGAACAGACACTTCGTGCTTGAAATTCACAAATGCAAACTGTTTCAGTTTGCCATCTTTATCTTTGGGGATTTTCACCTTTATTACTGGCCCAGCCTGCAAAGAAAAGCATTCACAACTTAAACAAGGCAATTTCAGAAAAACACTTAAACTTCAGAAATAAACAAGAATGCAAGCCTGTTATGGTGGCACATGCCTGTATTGTCAGCAGTCAAGAGGCGCAGGCAGGAGGAGCGTTCAAAGTCAGCCTCGGGAGTCCCAGGCCACCAAGGCTACACAGACGACCCTCTGTCACAAATACTAAAAAGAAGAGAACACAAAAGTTTTTTTTTCTTTAAAAAAAGGTATGTAATCAAGACCTCATTTAAAAACAAAATGTTAGCCGGACAGTGGTGTCGAACGACTTTAATCCCAGAACTCAGGAGGCAGAGGCAAGGGGATCTCTGTGAGTTCGAGGCCAGCCTGCTCAACAGAGCTAGTTCCGGGACAACCAGGAATTCACAGAGAAACCCTGTTTCAAAAAAAAAAAAAAAAAAGTCCTGACAAGGGCTGGACATCTACTTCCCTTTTTAGTAAGGATAACAATTCTAGTCCTGCCTAAAATCGAGATTATTTGGGGAAAGTTTTTGTTGTTATGTATAATATTAATAAAGAACAGAGAGCGCGATACTGTGTCTACATCTCACATGACTGTGTGACGTCTTCAAACAGCTATCATTTCCCCACTGCACGGAAACAAACATTTACAAGACAAAGTGGATTTTCTTCGACTAAAAAAACTGACTTCCGCATCGACCAATCAAATACAACCAGCTATTGAGTCAAGAAGCAGGGACAACATAGTTCGAATTTTTCGGACTTTTTTAAAAAAACACGCCAATGCTGCTTTCCTACGTTAAATTCACAGTTTAAAAAAAAAAAACTTTAATGTCTGCAACTTCCTAAGCAAGTTAATCGGAAATAGAAGCGGAAACGTGTGAGACGAAGAAAAGGCCAATTAACTCAATGGGGAGGCGAGGTACACAGGAAAGGGGAAGCAATGCTGAGGTTCCGCCTCGGGTCCCTGCACCTTCACCGGGATGGAGACGCAGACACCCACATCATCAGACGTCACTTTTGGCCCGAACGCCCCGGAGTTCGGGCCTGGCGCGCTCCGCTCCTTAGCTGGGCCCGAGTGCCCCAGCCACCTTGAGACCGTGCCCGCGGCTTACCTGGTGAAAGAGCTCGAAGAGGAGCTCCTCCGTCACCTTCGTCTCCAGGTTACCCACGAACAGAGTGCGATCGGCCTCCGCGGCCGCCGCCCCCATCTCCGCGTCGCTTCCAGCCTCAGGCCTAGTCTGACTGCTGGCGGCCCACCGACCGACCCTACTGCGCAGTCTCAGAAACACCCGCGTCCTCTCGTTCAGACGTCACGACGTAAACGCCCGTCGCGCGCGAGCGCAGGCAGGCTACGCATGCGCGCGGCAGAAGCGCCCGTTTCCGGAGGCTGCTCCTTCCGCCATTGCACTTTTGAAAATGGCGGCTGGGGTTGGTAACGGCTGTGTCCGACGCGGGTTGGAGTGATCTACGGCGCTGCCGAGGGCCCAGTTTGGTCGTCGTACGTCAAGCAAACACTGCGGGCGGTGTTTGAAGATGGCGCAGAACTCGATGTCGCTGTCCGCCGGCGATCAAGCCAACAGGGTGGCCTACCGGTCCTCTGAAGGCGATTTCAGCCCGTCTGCCTTGGCGTGGGCGATGGTCTCTGGAGACAGCTTCCTGGTTACTAGTCTTGAGCTGAATCAGTCAGGACCTCGGCCGCCAGCACGACCTAGCGTTCGGACCGACAGACGTCGAATGCCCGTCGGTGGCCGCAGCCGTAGCCGAAGCCGCCAAGGCAGATTCTCGCCTTACCCGATCCCTGGCGTCAAGCTCGACCTCTTAAGAAGTGTGCTGCAGCAGCGTCTGGTTGCGTTGGGAAGTGCCCTCGCAGCCCGGATCTCGGCGTAGAACGAATGCCTCCCCTCACTTAGCTTGCAAACAAGGCCTCTCTGAAATCATTTGTTGATGTAACGGCAGTTTTGTTTTTACTGACGTATTTGTCACCTTTGTGGGCTGTTAATATATAGCCTAACAGAGTTTGGCCAGGCGAAGTGACCCTCTTCTTTAATATCAGAACTCTGGAGGCAGGCTCTTGAGTTCCAGGCCAGTCAGTGTTTTTTTTTTTTTTTTTTTTTTTTTTTTTTTGGAGGGGGGGGCGGCTCGGCTCTTAATCAGTCCATATTGGGCCAATAAGAATGTAGGAGGGGTTTTCTACGTGTAATCCAGGCTTGCTGTAGATTGACATGTGTTAAGTTAACCATGGCCTTGAAATCATCCTGCCTGCCTGTGCCTCCTAAGTGCTGAGATTCAGAAGCATGAGCCACACTGGGCTTGAGTAACACTCAATACGGAAACCAGCTGTATACCTCTCTGAGTGAATACTCTGAGGCTTGTAATTCAAGCTTTCTTAACTTGTCTTCCTCTACCTCCGACTGCTATTAAATTCGTGTTGGTGAAAACAAGTGTCCTGCCGAGCCATGGTGGATCAGGCCTTTAATCCCAGTACTTGGGAGGCAGAGGCTTGTGAATCTCTTGAGTTCCAAGCCAGCCTGGTCTACAAAGCAAGTTCAAGGACAGCCAGGGTTACACAGAAGTCCTGTCTCGAAAAACCCGAAAAAAGAAAAACAATGTCCTTTAACACACTGCTTTTTCCTTACCACCTCACACACACACAGCCCCTCCCCATCCCTGCTCTGTTAGTTTTACTAATCTACAGACTTTTTTCTCTCTCTTTCTCTTCAGTGTCTCACTCTGTATCCCTGGCTGTTCTGGCTCTGCCTACTAAGTGCTGGCCAGACTCCAATCTTAAATATGCTAAAAGCAAGTTAGTTCCAAGTTAAGCCAATGTACACACTCTTCCCAAAGAGTCACCAAATGAAATGTGTTGTATCATTAACTCCAGATTTGTTAGTATGAATCTGCTGTCACAAAATATGCTGGTGGGACCTAAGTATCTCACAGTCACTTCTCATTTGTTTTCTGCTCCCTGTCTTTACTCTCAATCCTGGAAGGGTTTTTAGGAAACTTACTGACAGGGCCTTGCTGTGCTGCCCAGGTTGATTTAAAACTGCAAATCTTTCTTAAGGGTCCCCAGTCATAGGTGTGTACTCAGCAGCAGGTGAACATGACACATCCCTGCCCTCAAGAGCCATGAATGCATTCGGAATAGAATAAAAGGTAATGGCCACACTTGGCTGTTCATTAAGTATAGTGATGCAATTCAGGATTGGTTGTGATGGCTTCCCATGATAGCTGTTACCTTGGTTCTCTTAGGTGGCTGATCATTCTTACGCTATTCTCTAGAGTGATATTGGGAAGAAGTTTGTGGGGGTTTTGTTTTCAGACCCTTGTCTATTCAGATTTACTTAAAATAATTGAGGTAAAGCAAAATCACCACATACTACATGACAATGGTTGTTAGAACCACATTTTTTTTTTTTTTAAGATGGTATGTATGAGTGCTCTATCTCCGTGTACTGCTTTATGCTAGAAGAGGGCATCAGATCCCCCTACAGATGGTTGTGAGCCATGTGGTTGCTGGGAATAGAACATAGGGCCTCTGAAAGAGTATCCAGTGCTTTTAACTGCTGAGCCATTTCTCCAGCTCCTAGAACCACATATTAAGATGAAAAAATTAATGCAGTAGTTAATATAGTGATAAGACTGGAAATCATGCCAAAGGAAAGATACTGACAGGATATTAGCTACTTTTAATTGAGTTCATGACATTGTGCTAGAGGCCGTTGTTCAGTAGGTTGATTGTCCTGTGCTTGCTGTTGCCTGCATCAGACACAATTAAGTAGTGAACAAGGTACATCGCCAGCTTTGCTCATACCAAGTTTTTGTTACTTGATTGTCACAGCAACCTGTAGAAGGATATTGCATTTTAATTTTGTTACTGGGGTGAGGTGGCTTTTCCAGGGTCATCCAGCTTGCAGCTTTTTAGCTGAGGTCCTTTATCTGAACCATACAATACAGACACATCTTAGAGTAGTTACTTTGACAATTTTTCAATTGTAACTCATAGTTGAGAAAATTCTACATATATGCTGTGGGTTTTAGACTGGGAAGAGATAGTGAAATAAAGCTTGAAAAAATAGTGCAGTCCTTAATTTTAGAGATATCTAATGTTGGAAAATGCCACCTCAAAAGGCAGTAAGTTAGCTGCCAGAGTTCAGAATAAGCTTAATCCTTTTGATTTTATCAAATGCTTTGAGTGCAAAATTAGGTTAAAGAACTTTAGGTCTTGTCCATTCAATGTGTAATTTTGTGCTAAAAAGATGTTCAGTTGAAGTTGGACTTTGGGAGGTAGAGATTAAGAAATTATTTAAAAAAAAAAAAAACGATTGGTGCCACGGCAATCAAGGACACTATTAGCATGAAAGAGGGTGCTAATTAAAGGCAACAGCAGGCTAAATTACTCATCACCTTGGAGGTGGTTTGGCTCTTTTTCTGGAACATACTCTACCTGAGATTTGTAAATGAAAGAACAAAACCTGTCATGAAAACCTAAAAGTGCACTTGGGTAAGGGAGGACCTAGAGGGAGTTGAGATCATTTCTGTTCTGGTGTGTATATGGTCATCAGGAGTCAGGCTCTGGTTGAGTAATAGTGTAACAAGGTTTATTATTGTGTTTCCTGGGAAAGGAAAAGAGCCTTTATATAAACTCTATTGTTTCACGTGAGAGTCACTGGACATCCAAATTCTTGTTCTTAGTATGTCCAGTGCTTCAGCCTGCAGGGTCAGGCGACGGAGACCCTGAGGGGAGGTAGTGAGAATGAGGGGACAAGAGAGATGGAGACAAGACAGTATTTTGATTGTCATTTAATGAATATAACCACAAGGTTTAAGTAGTGGAGACATGAGGGAATGGGTCAGAGGGAGGCTGTGAGGGAGGCAGAATGTCCTTCCAAGCCGGATTCAGCTGTTCTGCTATAAAATAAATTGCTATATGATAAGCCTGCAGCTGGGACTCTTTCAGGGTCAGGCTGCATCATATATTCAACAAGAAAACAGTCATGGGGGAATGGAAAATTACCAGTATGTTAGTATCTAAGAGAGTAGTAGGAAAAATGGCTGTTAAGATGCTGACTTTGCCCTGGGGTTCCCTACTATGCAGAAGTGTTGAAGTTACGGTGTATCACAAAAACTGTACAGTGGAAGCAGGAACCAACACAGACCTTTGAAGTTACCTGAAATGGACCAGTACATGTTCCCAAGGACAGATCATATCATTAGGCTGCTGCACAAAATGTCTGCAGTGTTAGTAATGTGCATGGTGACCCCATAACACAAGTTCTAAGAATAGTCTGTTCTAAGAAAGTTAGCATGTCTTTATAAGCACCTGCAGTTAAGCAGCTGGATAGCATGTGTTGAAGTGGGATCCTATTAGCATACTTTCTGTACAGAATTAAAATTCTGAAAACATTCAGGATATAAAAGGAGGCCAGTGAAACCATTGAGAGATGGTAAAAGCTATGGAAAGACTGAACAACCTGAGTTCCATCCTTGGATCCCACAATGAAAGGAGAGAGCTACTCCCAAAAGTTGTCCTCTGATCTCTACACGACAGCTCATGTGCATGTGCACACACACACACACACACATATGCAGGTACAAAATAATGAATACAAAAATATTTACAAGATTGACTGTAGAAGGAAAGGGCAGGGGAGGAAGACAGGAAGGAAATACTACAAGAAAGAGCAGTGATCATCTGAAGATCCCAGTCTCTTTCCAGCCAAGTCTCACACAGTTCATTTATCCAGACCTCATTAAGATATATCTTTAGAGTTGGGCGGTGATGGCCCAGGCCTTTAATGCCAGCACTCAGGAGGCAGAGGCAGTAAGATCTCTTGAGTTTGAGGCCAGCCTGGTTGGTGTACAGAGAGTTCCAGGACATCCAGTGTTTATGAAGAGAAACTCTGTCTCAAAAAAACAGTGTATCCTTGATCTTTCCAATTTCTGTAAAAGCTGCTTGCTTTCTTAGCCAATCAAATGCATAACTTGAAATATGGTTCCTTAACACCGATGCCCTGAGCTTATTGCCTCTCCCTGTTCGTTTGCAAGGTCTTTCTTCCTCAGCTACTCTAATGTTATTTCTTGTGTGTTTGTGATGGCTTCCCCTTGTCTTTTCACAACTACTCAGTGTTTCTCAGCCTATTCTCAAGTTCTTCACTGGAAATAAAAGGTACTACTTTGTGAATGATGCAAGGACAGGTAGTGCATTTTTTATGAGTTTAGGTCACCTAATATGTGATAGCGCGTTGAAAGTTCAAATAGCAGTCTATGGGGCCTCTGGTAGTGGATCCGTATTTATCTCTGGTATACAAATGGACTTTGGGAGCCCATTCCACATAGAGGGATACTCCCTCAGCC